GCCAGCGCTAGGTATAGGGCGGTCGACGTACTTACCCTCAGAGAGCATTTGTGAGCCCCCGTCACTTCATCCAATACATTTTTATGGCACAATGTTTTGGGATATCATTAGATACATTTTTATTATAAGGAATATAAAAAGCATGGACTAATACAGCATTAAAAAGTATTTTACAAGACAGCCGTGGGCTCAGATTCCCCACTGACGCTCACCCTCCCCTCGGTGTGTCCTGCGCACTCCCAGCAGCCCCCGAGGAGGTGCAGTGCGAGGCGCGGGCCCTTGCATCGCCCGGGAGAGCTGTGGACCCAGGGAGACCCAAGGTTACGGTTTGGGAACAGGTTCAGTGGTGAGGTCCCCAGTGCAGCCCTGCGATGCCTCCCTTCCGCTCCTGCTGCCGCAGAGGAGGTGTTGAGCCAAACCCCTCCATTTGATCCCCCATCCTGGTCCAGACTGCCCAGACCGACTGGCCCGGTGGCAGGCCCAAGGAGCCCGTGCTCCCGGTAAGCTCCTCGGCACACTGCTTCCCTGGCACAGCCCTTGCTGACAGCGTGCTTTTGTCTTTCATCTACCGGTGCTGTCCTGAGGAGAACTAATGAGCACAAGAGCAGCTGGACACAAGGCTTGAAGCTCAGTCTGTCAAAAATTCTCTTGCCCTGGGTGTTACAAAGAGCTGGTACGGAATCAGAACCAGGGTGGTTCCCAAGGTAGAAGCCTGGCTGCGGTCTATAGACAGCTGGTATAGATCACAGAAGTAACAACCAGTAGTATACTCTCACAAATTAGAAATATGGGGAGAGAGAGAGAGAGATAAAACAATCAGTGCCTATAAAAATTTAAATTCATAGAAAGTCTTCAGTGACATGGCAATATAGGAATATACTTGCGCTCAGATAACTAAGTACTCTAGTGCACAGCGATAGCGCGTCAAGTGCTAAACATGTTTTTCGTAAGTGGTGGATCACTTCTTCTGTGGCTGTCCGGCTGCTGGGCTCTGGGCTTTTGCCTCAAGGGAAGGGGAAAGAAAGAAAGAAAGAAGTAAAAATGCTGTTTTTGAAGAGTACTTGCTAAGAAGCAATTGATAAAACCCTCACTGAAGCAGGAAGGACTGTACAATAAGCTCATCATCCTGGCAAAACCATCACAAGGGGTAACAGCCAGGCACTGGCTTCTCTTCCCACCCAGCCCCACTCATGCGACGAGCCAAGCGTGCAGCAAAAAATCAACAGCACTTTAACCCTCGTCCCTTTAAAACAGTTCTACGCTGAGACCGGAGAGCTGAAGAGCTCTGAAACCCGCTCACAGTGCGAAGCACCACGCTCCTACTTGGCACTGGCTGCCTTACCATTGTGTTCCTGCGTCTGACGCCAACGGGAACATCCGACATCCCGAGGCTCCTTCCCCCTCTGTTGCTGGTGCTGTTGAAGAAGAAGAGACACTTTCAGTGGGAGCAAGCCTACCCATTTCAGTGCTCTTACTGCTGAATAAACACAGGGCCTTCACACCAGGGAGACTTTGGGAGGGCTGTGTGCTTCTCTGAACCCTGACCCAGTAACTTTTGTAGCAGAAGAACCAGATCCTATTCAAAGAGCAAAGAGAAAAGCCAAGATGAGAGCACTACAAGGGACAGACAACAAGGCATTATCCTGCATTTCCTCCCAGGAACCATTTTGTCCATTCTATTTTGATATAAAAGCCTAAGTTTGCTGTTTGACACTCAGATAAGCACCACCCAAATTAAACTGAGTGAAACCATTTCAGCCACAGGCAAATACGAGGGAATCCAGATTTGCACCATAAGGAAATGAGGCAGAGGACTGGAACGGGTTTGTCACTATTGCTGCTGTTGGGTGGCTGCCAGCTGAAGATCAGAATGCGCCAGGCCCAAGGCTGCACCTCACTTTCATCAGAGCAGAACTTGCTCCTGCAGTGCCCTCGATCCCTCACCCTTCAGGGCAGGCCCAGTGTGGCTGCTGGAAATGAAAGACCAAGTCATTACCTTGGTTGGGCTGGAGAAGTTCTGGAGGAGCTGGATGTAAAGGCTTCCGAAGGGAAGTTCTGAGCAGGTCTCGCATGTGGTGTTGTCCCACCTGCAGACGCGCTTGCACCTTTGTTCTTCGGTCTTCCCTCATTGCCAGCCACCTTCCTGGGCTTCCTTCTCGAGTCAGGAGCATCGGGAGCTCTCGCTGAAGAGGACAATGCTGCATTCCTGGCGTTTGTCGTATTACTCAGCGACTTGGTCCCTCGTGCAGGACAGCTGAGCCTCTGCTGCCCAAAGCCTTCTGTGCACTGCGGAGGAACATCTCCTGAGAGGACAAAGATACAGCACTTAATAGGAATAGTAAATGCAGGGTGAGACATTAGAGACCGTTCAGATAACAAAACTAGACCTAATTTCCATTCCAGCAGCATACGGCTTCATAACCTTTGAGGCTAGCAAATTTCAGTGATTGAATTTTTCTTCTGTAAAACTAGACCAGTGGTAGAGGCTCATAGATTTTTACGTTTTGGAGACAGAACAGGGTAACAACATCTATTTGGCTTGGAACATGCACAGCTGAATACAAATGTAAAGGAAAAGCGCGTGTGTAAGTCTGTGTTTTGCCCACACCTTGATGCCTGATTCGTCTCCGAGCCAGCTCTGGTGATTCTCTTCTCTCTCTGTTGGCTTGAGGAGACAGCAGCTGCCGAGATGGAAAGCTGGCTGCTGGGCTGGCGGGGCGCAGAACACAATGGTGCTAAAGCAAAACATAGGTTTGACTGTTTAAATGACGGCTCATTTAGACTTGTTCCTGTAAAAACACTGCAGAGCATCACCCCGCAGAAAGATTGAGGTGAGTACGGGATTGTTTTTAGGAAGACGCAGATAATTGCTTGCCAACACCCACACTTTCTCCTACACAGAGCTGAGGAATTATTACTAGCTATCATAGGACCCAAGCAAAAATGGAACTGGCAGCGTAAGCCGGTCCTGCTTAACCAAACCACCC